CGCCTGAAAGATTGTGTTATGGGTACCCATCGATTATAATTGTGGATTGAGGTCTTCAGAGGAAGTTCCAGATCCTACACCTTCATTTGTTTTAGAACCATTTGTTTTTTATAGGATAGGGTGATAAACGAGCACTCTGTCCACCTGATGGTAAGTGGTTGCTGTGGCCCGTAGACATCTACATGTATCCTCGATTACGAATCAAAATACATATGCGTTGTCACTCGTGAGGACTAAGATGGAATGCCTCATTTCCAGTAAAAAGGGTCTCCGGTTATCTACACTCACCATACTAAACACAGCAGCATTAAGCAACTGTTTCACGCTGGTATTCTGTGAGAGCGTGGTCCTTCCCCGGTTGAGCCGATCCATTCGTGCTACAACTATACTACTAATATAACTGCAGCATGGCTGTAGCACATATAAAACTCTAAAAACTCGTGAAAACTCTAAGCTCTTTTGGGTTTAACCCCTTCGGCTGGTCGGTTTCATTTAATTGTAACTTATACTTCTTATCGAATACAAATTGTTTTGGGATCTTATCGCACTTGGCTTGTAAGATGTAAATTCTATCAATTATACCTGTATGAAGGACTCTTCTCTTACTCCAAAGAACTAGGGTCATGAGTCAATGGCAGCAAAAGTAGCTTATTTGTATGTGTAGATGAAGCGGGGTTAGCTCAAGCATAGCCTCTAAGGCTGCTGTTGGTGTAGTTATTATGTAGCCTGTGGCAACCATACATATCTGGTAACGCTGAAGCATAGTGGTGGCTTCATTAGTTTTGGTCCACCATACCAGAGCGTCGTGTGTGATCATGGGCCGAATTACAGTTTTGTACAGCCACAGTATAATTTTTCACGTCAGACCACAATTTCTGATCTGTTTAAAAAGTTCGATTATATTCCTGCTGAATTCATATCGACCCAATTTTATCGATAACCTTATTCGGCAGAGCCACGTGAGCGTGACCCTGTCTCAGCGCTATGTCACATGATATCTAGTGACGCAAAGTTTGGTGATTTGGTTACGGATATAAATTATAACTTAGGTACTTTATTTATTTATAAAATCGATTATCATTTTTGAAGTGAAAACTTCTTTAGCGGCGTTGTACACTTTTTTGTGATGGGTAAAAAATGTTAAACTCGCGTCAGGACACGTGACCTGATCGAAAATTCGTAAGACGGACGGCGTAGGAGAGGAAGTATCCCCCTCTCTTTCTACGGCGCGGCGAAAATGTATGCCTGCGCCTGCTGTTTCGTTTAGGCGGCGCAGGGCGCTTGCGCGAATGTAATATAAATTGTCATGTTTGTGTACGATAGCGCAATAAATAAATATTCTACCATATAAATGATAGTACTTTTATACTGATAATTAAAGCAATTCGTGCAAAATTATTCCCTAACCATTCCAAAATATCAAAAATACACAACGTTAATATTCAAGTTTTCACTTCTGCCGGCACTCCCGGAGTGCAACCCGTCGTTTTTTGTTGGCGTTCACTTTCCCATATCATCCCGTGAGTGTTGTAAGAAACGACAGAGGGAAACAAATCACGAGATGGGCAGCAGCGCCTTCCTTATAACGACTAAAAATAAAAACTGAAGTTGCCAAACCGCTTGCCAAGAGTGGCTACTATGGCAAATATTCCCGTGAGGCATGGGGAGGCCTATGTTCAGCAGTGGACTTTAATAGACTGTAACAGTAACGGTATTTATTTATTTATTTATTTATTAGATGTACCTAACAGTTTATATTCACTTTCACATACATGTACGTAAACACATCTATGAAAAAAAAATACTAACTAACAATTTTAAGATAAGCTGTTGAAGATTTTTTTTATTTCGTCAAATTATAGACAGTAAAATATATTAATGTAGAATTGATCTGAAGTAGTGAAGAGTGGAACAGTCTACTGCGACGTTTCTTTATATTGATAGCTATTTCCCGCGACTTCGTTCGCGTGGAATTTTTTACGGTTGGATTTTATTTTCTAAAATAAAACTAGCCTCAGCTACTCCTTCTCCTTCTACTCTATCTACTCCTTCTTCTACATCAGCATCTGCCAGTGAAAGTTCCGTCAAAATCGGTCCAGCAGTTTCGGAGACTAGCCAAAACAAACAGATCAGACAAAAACTTTAAAAAAATTACTTTCGTATGTATTTAATAAAATGCTGTTATTTTAACATTACAAACAGACACTTCAATTTTATTTATTTGTATATAAACAATATGTAACGTAATTAAAGCACAGCCTCAGACACCCCAATTAGTATATTATGTTATAACCATAATACATATTCAGAATTTTTAGTTAAACATTTTTATGCACTGATTATTTATCAAATTAGTTATACTAATTCCGGAAGAATGTTGTGGTCACAGTACAAATCCACGAACGCAAAGACTTTAACGTGCTTGAAATAAAGTTCATTTTTCTTTATTTTTATTGAATGACAGAATTAGTAACAATACAAATAAAACTGCACTCTTAAAAGTCTTATTCACTTAAGTTACGGTCCATTTTAGTTTGTTTTGACTGTACAGATTTAGTGTGACTGTAATTTATGTAGTTTTAATTATTTTCGGGATAAAAAATTACCTATATTAAAAATGATAGAAATCGATTCAGTAAACGATTCTGAACAAACTACTTTCTCAAAGTGCGTTAATTATGTTACATGTTGTATACAGATAAACGCCCGCCCCGCAACCCGCTTATTACCCTATGCTACCTTATTTTCGACTTATGCGCAATTACGGTCAGAGCTAGACTTTCGTGCCGCTACTTATACGATTGTTTTCGTGCGCAGTAAAATCAGTTAAAAATGATGCATTACCACGCATTTTGAAATTAAAAGGAGAGAATGTTTGAGGATTTTTTTTAATTAATTTTTCTTCACCTTTTGCCCATATTACTTATTCTGAACCTTATCTGTAAATTTGGCCGGTTGTTGCAAAATAACCCTGAATATTATGTACTCAACAAACAAGAACACAGTGCACATGACTGTTAGTAGATGCTGTGACTAATAGACACGTCTATTCTCGATTTATCAAAATAAAAATCGATGGAATAAGATGCCGCGTTATCAGTTAAAAGGGTTTCCAGGTATCGTTACTCACCATATAAATCACAGCAGCATCCTTCTGTTATTCCACGCTGGTATTCTGTGAGAGAGAGTGTGGTGCTCCTTAGGTCGGGCCGATTCATTCGAACTGTAGCCAAAATACGTAGCAACTTGACTCCACCACAAATCATTATCATCGTCGTCATTACTGCACGTCACAAGTCCACTGCTGAAAATAAGTCCCCCCCTCCCTACCTTGATCCATCGACTTTCTTCATCCAGGTCGTCACTCCATCTATTGGGAGACTGCCCTACACTAATAATTTTGTGTGAGGTCACAAGATCCAATTATCTATTGGTTTTCATAATTACCATTGTAAAAATAAGGTAATAGTTTGCGCCATTGCAGCACAAATAATGCATCTTACTTATTTTTATATTTTTTATACAAGACCTTAATTTTAGCTAAGACCTAAATGACCTATTTGGCATTATAACCAACTTATGTTGTAATGAATACGTGAATGATAATAGATATCGTAGGAAGAGCGAGCCTCTCCCAACACAAGTATCTTATGATTACTGGGAGGCTTCGGCAAACTAATTGTAAAAGATTTACTAAAATAAAACATTTTTATTTTTATTTATTTTTCAAAAGACTATTTTAATACTTCTCTTCTCTACATAGTATAAAACAAAGTCGCTTCCCACCGTCTCTACGCTTACATCTTTTAAACTTTTGGGATTTTGATGCGGTTTTCATCAATAGACAGAATAATTCAAGAAAAAGGTAAAGTAGGGTTTTTTCTTTTTCAATTCTTCAATTCAAAAGCTGTCCACGTGTGCCTCAGTAAACAGCAGTCCCAACAACATCCGGAACTCATTGTTGTACTGAACACGTGACACATTGAGAGTTCTGCAGGTGTAGGTAAGCATTGAATATAGTTATTTTAACTTCATGCATACATGCGCCCTATACATAAAAAACAATTGCTCTCCGTTAGCCTCACTAAAACTCGAAAAGGACTCGAACGAGTTAGATGAAATATTTTGTGTGCATTTGAGTGGGTCCTTGGATGGTTTAGATTCTCAATTGGACCCGGTTGTCGATTGTCATCCGGAAATCTACGGGGCGGGTCGCTAGTTTTCTTATTCTTACGTTAGAACGTAACCACCCTTTTTTAAATATTTTTTTTTTTTTATATAAAAAATTTGTTTCAATGCTAAGGAAAAAAACTGAAAATAAGAAACAGCTATATCCATATCTAGTTCCGACCAAGATTTTTCAAGACCCATCATTTTATAACCACTTGGTAGAGCGACGCTGCAGCTATGATCCGGATCTTTACACTCACTATGTGTTTCGCATAGTGAGTGTAAAGATCCGGAGACCCTTTTTTGCTGGAAACGAGGCATTCCATCTTAGTCCTCAGGGGTGACAACGCATCTGCGTTTTGATTCTTAATCTAGGATAATGTAGATGTCTATGGACAATCACTGGATCTCGTTTTCACTTTTATTTAAAAAATTCACCACAAACATGGGTTGTAGTTACCGTGTGATGACTAGGTAAGAAAATTCATAATCCCATTTCGTCCCATAGGTGTCGTAAGAGATTATGGGCTATGCTAAATAGTTACTTATGGCTTCCGATAGATGGCGGTATAACTGTCTCTGCTACGCTAGACTTAAAATATCAAAGAAGCGTTATCCGTATTTACACAATTACACATGCGGGGACGTGATTCGCCTCGCCATTCAACAAATAGTTTTGCGAGATATTCGTATGGCTTTATTAGGCTATACGAGTGAACGTTTACACATTCGCGTTTAATCATTTCTACACCAGGTTGACGAAATGGATGACGTCGTCATTCTAGCGATTTTTGCATTGCATTTGCACAGTCAGTATAATTATTTAGACCATGTCATCCTCTCCTGCACCGGATTTTATTGATGCCAGCTTCTTGCGCCGATGTGTACGAAAAGTAGCGGTCAAAGAGTTTTTCTTCAATCCTAAATCGTCCACTGGTGCTCTCATTATTTCTGATACTAGCCCAGGCAATATATATTTTCTGCTTATTCTTATGATGACCATGCCTTGTATTCCAAAATACTGGTTGACTTTAGTAAAGCTCTAAAAACATCATAACTTTATTGTTGGTCCTGTCCATTTTGTTTATGTTGCTTGATAGGTCGTTTGCTACGAAATTAACTAGAAAGGAAATGTTTAAACATTTGCTTCTCGCCACTTTTTTCCCTTTGACTCTTACTTACTTACTTACTTATCTTCACGCACAATCCCTAACGGGGTAGCCAGAGAGAACAGATCGCCAAGTGTCACGATCCTTACATACCTCTTTCGCTTCTTTCAGGTTCATTAACTTCTTCATACATGCACGTCTAGGTATCCGAGTACTCTTGACCCTTCCCCTCTTCGAGCAATTTGCTCACATGGTCTTCGAAAGTTAGTCTCGGTCTACCTCGACACCTTTTAATATTTACTTTCGCTCTATATATTTTCTTCACCATTCGGTCTTCATTAATTCGTTCAACGTTCCCAAACCATTGGAGTACGCCCCTATCAATTTTTGTGATAAGGTCATCTTTCAATCCTGCCATATTGCGAATCTCTTCGTTTCGCTTTCGGTCGGCTAAGGTAACGCCACACATTTTACGAAGAGATCGCATCTCCACTGCATTCAACTTGCTTTTATGCTTCTTCTGGCATACCCAGGTTTCGCTGCCATATAACAAAGTCGGTACCAACACTGCATTATGTATTGCAAGGCGTGCACTCTTCACCACGCCTTGCCTTTTTTACTAACACTAATGCATTCAGAGCACCATTGACTTTGTTTCCGGCAGCGACACGCCTATCCACACCTAAATCACATCTTCCATCCCGGCTGAAAGCACTACCCAAGTATACAATTTCATTTACCTGTTCTAGACATTCCTGATTTACCCATATTTCACATTTCGTTCTCTCTTCGTCCTTTTCAAATACCAGAACCTTAGTTTTATTACCATTCAAACGGAGACCTTTAATTTCACATTCCTCTTTCATACACGTGGCTAATGCCTGCAGTTCTGCTTCTGATGGTGCAATAAGCACCGCATCATCAGCATACAGCAGACAATTAACTTTTTTGTCACCCAATTTCACACCCAAACAGCTATTTTTCAGCTTCTGTAAACAGCTGTCGAGATACAGTATGAACAGCCAGGAAGACATGACACAACCCTGTTTTACGCCCGCTTGGACGCTAAACATGGGTGACAGGTCATGCCCTACCCGCACACAGCTTTACAGTCATAGTAAAGTGACTGCACAGCCCTTAACAATCGACCATCCACACCATATCCCGGCAACAGTTCCCACATTTTCTTCCTTATAACCTTATCAAATGCTTTCTCCAGATCCACAAAAGCACAGAAAATCCTCTGGTTAACACTCAGAAGCTTCTCCGTGATCATGCGGAGAGTAAACATTTGATCCGTGCATCCTCTTCCAGGTCTAAATCCGCATTGTGCCTCCCATAAGAATCTTTCCGATTTCTCTTGCATCCTTACGTGTCAAAACCTTCGAGTAAACTTTACTTGCTAAACTGGTCAAGCTGATCGCCCGATAGCAACCGCAGTCAGAATGTGAACCTTTACCTTTATATAGAGGCACAATGACCGCGGATCGCCAATCATCCGGGACATCTCCCGTCCGCCAGCACAAATTGCACAGCAGATGGAAGCTGTCCCAGACGCGAGGCCCACCGTACTTGACCATTTCAGCAGTAACTCTGTCTAGTCCCGCAGCCTTACCACATTTCAAACTTCGAATCGCACGTTCAATCTCTTTCATGCTGATGACCTCAGTGTCATCGAGGTCCGTGTCTGGCGTGCCAGTCACGGCGTCACCCCCGGATCCTTCACTAAGATCATGACACGCATACATTTCTCTATAAAATTCACTCCATCGCTGCATGACGTCCGATTTTTCTGAGAGGACGTCATTGGTTCTCGAAAGCACTTTGTTCATTCTTAAGGCTGTCGCACCACTCCGGGACCTTCCAACCTCTTTCCAGAAGAGTTTGGAGTTTTCCCTAAAGTTGTGCGACAACCTCTCGTCCGCTTCTATTCTACACCTTTCACGTACTTCCTCAATCAATGTTTTCGCATGAACTTTCTGCAGCTTATATCTTTCTTTCATCTTCTCTCTCATATGCTCATCGTTACTAGAGGCCAAGTAGTCTAACCATGCTTTTTTCTTCTTTTTTACAGCTTTTCTCACTTCATCATTCCACCATGCATCTCTTCTTTTACTACTACCTCTTTTTGTCGTACCACATACTTCTTCCGCTGCACTTACCATTCCATCCCTAAGGTTCTGCCATGTTCTCTCCACACATTCTTTCCTGCCATCGATGGTGTCAAGCTTTTCGGCTACCCTCGTGTGATATTTGTCCCTAGTATCCGCTTCCTGAAGCTTCCAGCTTCGGATGCGACAGACCGACTGTGGTTTTGTTACTGCCGTCCGGTAGCGCCAACCCGCGAACAAACCCCTAAATCTAGTAATTACTAGATAATGATCCGTTCCCAGGTCAGCACCCCTGAACACTCGTGTATCCATCACCTGTTTTCGCAGTCGGTCATCCAGCAGGAACAAATCAATCATACTTCTCTCATTCTTTCTTTCTCTAGTGTACATATGGATTTTCCTGTGATTAAACATAGTGTTTGTCACAAGAAGACCCTTTTCCTTGCATACAGCCAGTATAAGCTTGCCAGCATCATTAACCCTTTTATCGCCAAACTTTCCAAGCACCGACTCGTATCCTGGTCGAGCGATACCTACCCATCCATTCAAATCACCACATACAACAGTTCTTTCGTTTCCCTTAACCAAATCTAGAACTTCTCTTACATTCTCCCAAAACTCCTCCAGCTCAGCCCTGGACGACGAAGCTACCGGCGCATAAACAGCCAAAAGGAATAACTTCGTCAGTCCCATTTTGAAGCGAACCCAGAGAAGTCTTGAGTTCACAACCTTGTATTCAGTCATAAGATCGACCAACCGGGACGACAACAGCACCCCCACTCCCTGGCAGGCGTTCTCGCTTTCCGGGACTCCGGACCATATAGCTAACTTCCCGCCAGGGAGCTCTTCTACAACTGCTCCTTCTCAACATACACACGACATCTAATTCTCTTTCTTTCATTATTTCGATCAACTCATTCGTCTTATCTCTCATGCCCCCCTCTAACACTCCACGTGCCAACTCTGCACTCCGTCCTCCACCTTCCGCCGTGTCGGGCTGTGCGTGACGGGTGGCGGTCCCCATCGCCGCTTTGCGCGCTGCATTCCACACCAACGGGGACGAGCTGGTGTGCGTCGCCTTGGGGGGACGCCCTAACCCTCGTTTGCATGGGTGCGCAGCTGTGTAGAATTGCAGCCCTGAAAAGGGCTGGCAGGGGTCGCGACGAGCACGCTTCTACAATGACCCCCTTTGACTCGTGTCAAAAAAACCGCTCCCGACGCGACCGTTTACATATTCGTGCAAGTGCCTCGACTCACCGCTCCCCTCGTCAATCACGCGAAAGTGGTGTAAATGCGGATTTAGAGATTATCACATTTACAATATGATGATGATGAAGAAGAGAGGTATATTTATATTCATATTCATGTATTTACGTAGTAGAGCCATGTTGCAGCTATATTATGGTTGTAGCATGAATAGCTCTAGAATACCAGATGGTTGTAGATAGAATACCAGCGTAAATAGCACCCCAATGCTTATGTGTTTGGTATAGTGCGCGAACCGGAGATCCTTTTTAATGAATACGAGGCATTTCATCTTAGTCCTCAGAGGTAACAACGAATCTGCATTTTGATTCTTAATTGAGGACAAATGTAGATGTCTATGGGCCTAAGCCCTCATTAATTCGTTCAAGGCCTTCAGCATCCACTTACCAACAAGTGGCACTTTTTTTTATAAAATAATCATATAAAGCTAATGAATATTTATCCACCAGGTCTCCGAAAAGTAATACTGGTGAAGAAGAATGCGAGACGGAGACCCTAAAGTCGGACCCTCCGATCGAAGACTCCGAAAAGGATGGCGGCGCCCTGGAAGCGAAGATGTCTCTCCTCAATGGGATCACTGTCATCGTGGGCTCTATCATCGGCAGTGGAATTTTCGTCTCTCCGACTGGCGTGCTGAAGTACACGGGTTCTGTCAACGCAAGTCTACTTGTGTGGATCGCATCTGGAATTTTTAGTATGGTTGGTATTATTTATACTCATTTATACGTGGCCGAGCCACGTTGCGGCTATATTATGGTTATAGCATGAATGTTGCGGCTCGACCGGGGAAGAGCCAAGCTCTCACAGAATACCAGCGTAAAATAGCAGCATATTGTTGCTGTGTTTCGTATGGTGAGTGTAGAGAACCGGTGAAATTTTTGAAACCAGGTAATCCATTTTAGTCCTCAGGGGTGACAGTGCAACTGCATTTTGATTCTTAATTGAGGATAAATGTAGATGTCTATAGGCCACAGCGTCCAATTACCATCAGGTGGGCTGTATGCTCGTATGTATACCTCATTCTTTAAAAAAATACCAATGCCCCGCAAGGGCGTAATTCTAAGTTAATTTAATAATAAGTTAATTTAATAATAAGTTAATTTAATAATAAGTTAATTTAATAATAAGTTAATTTAATAATAAGTTAATTTAATATGTTGTATTTTGACTGCCTGTTCATAAAACGCTAACATTTGTCTACTATATACTGGTGACCTTTTTTACCGTCTGGAAAAAAATAGGATGTAACAACATGTGAACGAAGTAGAAGCCTATGGCACTGTTGTTTTATAAAAAATAAAAACAAAAATTTTGAATTAAGCGTTTGAATTTTTTTGAACAATTACCCCTTACCTCCCTCTGACAAGGTCAAAGATGTCTACTAAATTTATTGTTTTATTGCCGTTCGTAAAGTAGGGTGCATATGATTTTAATTTCAATAGATTTTAATTCATTTATTTATTTAATTTTGTTTTTATTTATTTTTTGTAATATATCAGAGCCATAGGCTTCTACTCTGTTCACATGTTACACCCTATTTTTTTCAGACGGTAAATTATGTGTATAAGGACCTTAAATAACATAAAAATTAAATACATTGTATTTGTTGTAATATGCGTGTAATAAATATTTGTTAATTTATATACTATATAATATATTACGTCGTCAGACAACTAAACCACACTTGTCTCTTAGTCTTTGATAAATTATATATGAAAATTATTAAATAAGGTCATTTTTAACGTTACCCCCTCACTCGGATATTCTTCTGCATCGTGGGTTTATTCACAAAAAAACAAACACCCAGACCCATGGAACAATTATTTGTAGGTCATATAAATACTTGTTTCTGCTGGATTCGAACCCGCGGCCCCCTCACCTCTGGAACTCGTTGCTAAGACTTGGCTTAGCATTTAATCTTAAACTTAGGTTTAGCAATTATTTGTTATAAAAAATACTTTATTTTTTAATATTTACGTAGGTAATAAAAAACAAAAAATACTTAATTTGTTGTCCAACATCAAGTAATGAAAATATGTACATAAATACACTGTCAGACGCGTATAAGAGAGATTGCTTTTATGATTTAAACTAACTTGTTAGGTATGTGATCGGCATTTATGAGTTGGTAAAATATTCGTAACAATTTTCAGTAAACTGTAGATGTAACATCATAGGTAATGCTTTATGACCGTTCTTTATATTCAGAAAAAGTTCCGTTGTATACTACAATCAGCCATATTTAGAAGACAATTATTGTAAGGATTATGTTCATGTGTTACCGAATCCATTAATTAACCAAAAATAAACCAGGCGTCAATAATCTGACGAGTGTTGTTTACTTAATTTCTAAACGTTTCGTTTTACCTTACTTTTCGTTTTACAATACATGAAACAAACCATTAAAACGGCATTCCATCTAAGTCCTCAGGGGTAATAACGCATCTGCAATTTGTTTCTTAATTGAAAATAAATGTCATGTGGTCACCACCGCACCCACCCACCCAGCACCCACTTAGCATCAGGTGGACCGTGTGCTCGTTTGTCACACTTATTCTATAAAAAATAATAGTTTAGTAACTTGCGGACTGCTTTCATTTAAGTTGCAAACGATTAGTTAGTAATAAAAGCAATTATTATGAATATGAAATTCGTATTAAAAAACAAAACTTAATAAAACGTTTTTTTATTATGGTTTAGTTTAATTTTAGTTTAGTTTACGACGGGCTGTTTTCCGCAACTCCACGTCTAAGCGCCTTTTGCGTTTGGGCATGAATAATGTGATTATTCGAGCCATAAAATCTCTTCGAATCCTTCTACTCTTCGAGATTTAACCCTGTATGCAGCGACCTGTTGCGAGAGTCAGCGACGCGTGAGCCGCCGTTTCTTCCTTCCCCATGCATGCCCTGCACATGGGGTTATCGGTAACACCTATGATAAATAAATATTTGTAAAAGGAGCCATGTCCTGTGATATCACTTGTTACTTTCCTGATCTGTGGCTCGTTCAGTCTCAATAGAACCTTGTTAATTATATTTAAACCACAGTCTAACCTACTAATAATTATCGAAGGCGTTTAGACGAGGCAATCGTGCAGTGCGCTGCGGTGCGGTCCGGAGCGCTCCCGAGAGGCCGTTGGCGACTAGCGGCCGCTTGGGAGCTGTCTGCTAGGGTTGTCCTGTCACGCAAATAAATTAAAAAGGTGTACATTTTTCACACTACAAGTGCGGTAAAAGACTGTGGGTCGACATCATCTAAATATACACAGTAATTTGTTTAAACGTGTAATAAAATAAAATCAGTCTTTAATTTTTTTTATTAATTCCCTTTCTGAGACCCTAAGCAATTTATTGTTTATGTCGGCTTTTAATACACCATCAAACGCGGTGATTGTGGGTATGTTTCGATATACAACCCTGTACACTGGCCAATGCAAATGACGTAACGAATATGGTGGAATATGGCGTCAAGTAATGACGTCATTTTCATTCGCCAGTACACTGAAAACGTTTCGGAACATACCCTATATGTTCTTCTTAGGCTGTGGTGACAAAATTATAAGATGTATAAAGATACATAATATACTGATGAAACTAATATACAGAGATTACAACCATAATGATGACGGAGCTTAGCAGATATAAAGCAGTTTTAGAAAATGAGCCCGAACATTCTTCTTAAATGTTTGTTTGCAGGTAGGTTGTCCTAATTTTTCAGGCAGGTCATTCCATAGGCGTGCGGCTTGGACAGCAAACGATGAAGATATGAAACTCGAACGGTGAAAAGGTATAAAGAGAGCATGAGTCTCCGATTAAACGAAGCTGTCGGTCGTGAGTAGGGTTTGGGTCCCGGGACGTCTCGTGTCTCGAAGTCCCGGGACTTTTCGTAATTTTAGTTGTCTCGAGTCCCGGGACTTTTGGGTCGAGACTCGAGACGAGACAAGATTGGCGAAATTGTTATGTTATCATTTTTATTTTCAAATAATTGAAGGAGCCTAACCCCATCTGTTAGTTAAATTTAAAAAGAAATGGTTCAAATTTGAAAAAGCACAGGAAGTTTGGAACTACTATATAAAGCCTTAAACACAATTAAACCGACAAGTTTGAACAACTGAAACTACTTTTTTAATTTTCACAACCGGAAAAAGCACAGGAAGTTTGGAACTATTGTATAAATCCTTAAACACAATTAAATCGACATCTGTAGAAAACGAGAGTGTGTGTTCTCCTTTCCGGTGGTTATTACAAAAATAAGAAACAGATTGTCGGACAAAGCTGTTGACGCTTATTTTTTTAAAAGCCTATTTTATTAAATAAGCAAGGAAGTCTAATTAATGTGTTAGTTAATTATTTGAAAGTCTGATTTATAAGTGTTGTTTTATTATTTTTATTTAGAATTATTAAATATGAAACAAATCTGTAATTAGTAGAATTAACAATGTTGTGATTATGACCAATGATTAGATACTAGAATCCGAAAACACGAAGAACCACAAAGGCAAAACCAAAAAACTAGATAATAGCAAAATTTAATAAGAAATAGTATGATTTTTAACTAAGTTCCTTTTATAACTATAAGATTTAATTGCTTAAAAGTGAATCTGTGTCTGATTAAAAGAAATAAACAAAGCAATTATTAAGACTGAAATTAACGTTTAAATTATTAAGATTTAATTTTCTGTTTAGTAAATGTTGATTTTTACAAAAAAATTGCCTTTTTAAATAGGTTTCACTAAATATTAACTAAATAAAATTCTTCAAAAATGGCTCAACATTTATAAAAAAAATTATCTTAAAAGTCGAAAACCCGGGAATTCCCGGGACTTTGATAGTAGACTGTCTCGTGTCCCGGGACTTTGAAATTGTCGGGAATTCCCAAACTCTAGTCGTGAGTGTCGCGCAGGAACTGAAGCTTATGTTTCAGATAATTCGGATAATGGTTATCGAATAAATTAGAAAAAACTGTGTTTAGTATCCTAACGTGGCTTCGCTGACGAATTGGAAGCCATTTAAACTGAGTGCGGAATGAGGATACATGATCAAACTTGTGAAGACGAAAAATAAAACGGATGTAGTTATTGACAAGACGATCCAGCTTGTCAAGGAAAACCTCATTAAGATCAGTAAAATATACATTAGCATAGTCAATAATGGGCAAAATAAGAGATTGCATCAGAGTTATCTTTACCTTGACAGGAAAAAAGTTCCTAAGGCGGTTTAAAGTACTGAGCATGACAAAAACGGAACCACTGATATTCTCAATTTGGGTGGACCATCATATGGTTGTGTCAAAGTAGGCACCTAGATTTTTAACGCTTTCAGAATACGGTATGATAGAATTATCAAACATGACAGGCGGAACGTAACTGACGTCAAGCTTAAACAATTGCTGAGTACTACCAAGCTATAATAGCTTGGTATTTATTGGGGTTCACACTAATACCAAACTTGCGAGACCAATTGTGGAGATTCGTGAAATCCATATTAAGTCTGGAGATAGTTTCACATAAAGAGTTGACGTCTGCATGAGTATATATTTGAAGGTCATCAGCGGAAAGATGGTAAGAGCAGCTAAGTTGAGATGAGAGAGAGTTAATAAAAATGGAGAATAAAAGTGGGGATAATATTCCACCCTGTGGCACGCCAGTGGAGAGTTTACACCAGACTGATATGTTACGGCCGTTAATGACATCTTGCTGATGGCCACGAAAGGAAGGAAGTAAACCAGTCTACAGCAGTTATTAGAATATTTGAGATTTTGAAGCAAGGCAAGGAGGATATCATGGTCAACCATATTGAACGCATTTGTGAGATTAATCAATACAAGTACTGTGACCTTTCTATTCTCCATGCCCTCCCAAATGTCCTCTGTGACTTTGAGAAGTACAGTGGTTGTGCTGTGTCCAGGCCGAAAGCTAGATTGAAACTGATATAGCAAGTTATTTCTACAAATAAAGGCAGACAATTGTTGAAGAATTACAGATTTAAGAAGTTTTGATAAAAGGCGTAAGATAGAAATAAGTCTATAGTTGTTTAGTTAAGTGGGGTTTGCAATTTTGGGAAGAGGGATAATATAAGCTTTACGCCAAGAAGCAGGATAGAACCCAGACAACAGAGAAAAATTGATTATGTGAGTTATGACTGGGAGGAAGTATTCGAGAACAGAAGAGATCATGAAGCGACTCTACAAACGCGCGAAGGCGACTATATTATTTATAATAAAGGTAAAGTAAATTATGGCGCGAAAATCCGGAAGCAGACAACTGACCATAGTTAACTACGAGTTGGGCAGAGGAGGTTATGATTAAATCAAGCCACGTCTCCAAAGAGTCAGAATTGTGGTAGGTAGGAGCACAGGGAAGAACAAAGACAAGACAAAGAAGAAAGAAAGATAGAAAGACAACTTAACTGAGGACAGGATATTAAGGAGTTTAGCCTTTTGAGCAGAAGTTTTGAGAAGGTCAATATTAAAGTCACCCATGATAATGTGATGTAGGTAGTCCGCACTAAGAGATTCCAAGACGGTTTCTAAGCTAGAGAAATATTCTACAGAAGGGGGACAGTAAACGACACCCAGAACGAGCCTGGAACGTCTCGCCTGAATTTCCAGGAATAAATATTCAGCAGAGGCAGAATATTGTGAAGGTGACAAAGAATTAACCGAAAAATAAAGGCTAGAACGAAGGTATATGGCAACGCCACCTTCGCCCTCGCCGATTTTGCATTTTTAATTAAGAATAACCCGTTTAAACTGTAGGAGAAAGTTGAAAGTGAAGGATTAAGCCAACTTTCTGAAATAAGAATGCCCTACGCAGTTGAAGAAAAAGATGAGAAAGTCTCTAAAATATCAGAATAATGTGAGGGAATGAGACGTTACACGAAGAGTAAATAATTGTGATTATTTAATCGAGCATTGTTTACATAGTCGTTAATATTTAGTAAAGATGATTTATTTCTTGTAATTATCTGTTGTTTACATAATCGTTAATATTTATTAAAGATGATTTATTTCTTGTAATTATCTGTAAAGTTATAGTTCAATGAATATGAAGCCAGTGCAAAATTACTTCAGCGGCTAAAGTAACTTTGTAGTATTTAAAAGTTAATTAAGGTTGAATTTGAAATTGGAAAAGTTTGTGATTTATGATCTTTAGAAGAAACGAAATTACAAGTGCTCTAACCAAAGATGAAATAATATCCCTAAAATATTTTATATTTGTACACAATTTAGTTTAAAACGAGAGATAAAATATTGCAGCTTTTTAATTTTGTGCTATTTAGGAAAACAATAAAACGGCATCCTTTAGTCCTCTGAGATTGCGCAGCGTCATTTTTAACGAAGATAAGACCTTTAGATTTATTATAACTTGGAAAAGCTTCTTTACTGTGACAGATCTTTTCATTAAGCAGCAATCCAGTTCATTTTTCTCGAGAGTAACAACCAATCATATGAAAACCTTGCTATTTTTTTATTTACAATTTTTTATATAAAACTAGCTTGCTAGGCAGACGTTGTTCTGCCCTTTTCGACGACCCTTTGTAATGTCCTATTAAAAAATCCTTAAATTCGCAAAAAAATGTGGGTTACTCATGGGGGAAAAAACTATCATATCTCTCAAGTTGGACCAAACTGCACACGGTGGGCAAATTTGATTAAAATCGGATAAGCAGTTTAGGAGTCCATCGCGGACAAACAACGTGACACCTACTTTATATATATTAAGATTATGGTATTGATGACGAATTGACGATCGCAGTACGTCTCATATCTTTGACACTGCTTCGTCATGAAAAATATTTTTAAAATGCTATCTATAATACGGAAAGTCATGAGAAATTTCTAGGGTTTCCTATAGTCGCTTCTTAATATGGTCCTCCAGACCAATTTTCGGTGAGTCAATAATGACTAGACATTTGCGCAGGATAGGTTTATAGCGTCTTAGTGTATGAGCAAGAACAAGTGCATTCTCTATTCACTCACTCTCATAGTCCGATGAGATGGTTAAATCCGCCACGACCGAAGAGAGACCAGGAACAACTGCTTTACGTGCTTTCCGAGGCACGGGGGGTACACCGCCAATTTAATATACCTATTTAATACAAACCCAATCT